CGAACCATACCTAATCTCATATATTGATAAGGTGGAAAAGCAAAATAATTTAGCTATAAATGTTTTTGGACATTCTTCTAAAGGAATTGTTGTACACAGGATAAGCTCCGCTCCGGAACATATTCCAAGAATCAATTCATTTCTGATCGAAAAAGATGGTAAATATCATTATACATGGATAAAGAGTTTAAATAGGCTATTATACGATCGAACAAAACATGCAGGAAAGAAATATTTCTACGAAAGATGCCTGCATGGGTACAGCAGACAAGATCTATTAGAAGCGCATAAAGAAGACTGCAGAGGTGTTGGACAGACTGCTATCAGGATTGATATGCCTAAAGAGGGGGAAAATATATTAAAATTTGAACATTATTGTAATCAAATGCTAGTACCGTACGTAATTTACGCCGACTTCGAAGCGCTTATCAAACCTATAGAAAATACCAACCGTAGCAATCAAGATAGTTTTACATATAAAACACAAGAACATATTCCTTGTGGGTTTTGATATATAGTTGTAAGGTATGATGGGAAAACAAACCCGCCCGTGATTTACAGAGGTCCCAATGCAGCGGGAAAGTTCCTAGAATATCTACAAAATGAAGAGAGAATAATCAGGGAAACTTTATCGTGTAAGAAACCCATGCGTATGACGAGGGATAATTGGAGGGCCTATAAGAGGTCAACGAGTTGTCATGTTTGTAATAAACCCCTGAATGGGGATTCTGTAAGAGATCACTGCCACGTCACGGGTAATTATCGGGGAGCCGCACATAACGAGTGTAACTTGAAACTAAAAATGAATTCTCAAACAATACCCATCCCCGTTGTGTTTCATAACCTTAGAGGATATGATTCTCATCTCATTATGCAAGCTATCTCAAAGACCGACGGTGGCTTAACGTGTATACCTAATAATATGGAAAAATATATATCGTTCTCGTTGACTAAAACTATACATTATACGGACAAGGATGGGAAAGCCAGAATAAAGCAAAGTAATGGGCTTAGATTCATAGACTCCGTACAGTTTCTGTTATCTTCCCTGGACAATTTAGCTAACGCGAACAATCCCAATGACTTTGCAATTACAAATCAATATACCGATAGGTGCCGTCATTTGTTGCTGAGAAAAGGTGTATATCCTTACGAATATATGGATGATTGGTCTAGATTCGAGGAAACTAAATTACCGCCCCTCGAATCATTCTATAGTAACTTAACAGAATCTAAAATAACAGATGCCGATTATGAACACGCTCTGACGGTCTGGGATAAATTAGGTTGTAAGAATTTAGGCGATTATCACGATCTGTACTTAAAAACTGAGGTACTGTTACTCGCCGATATATTCGAGATATTTAGAAAGACATGTTTAAAACAATACGGCTTGGACCCGGCATGGTACTATTCCAGTCCCGGACTATCGTGGGATGCATTGTTGAAGAAGACCGGCGTAGAACTAAAACTACTCACCGATTACGATATGCACTTGTTTATTGAGAAAGGATTAAGAGGTGGTATATCGATGGTAGCGAAAAGGTATTCTAAGGCTAATAATAAATTAGTGGAAAGATATGATCCGAATAAACCCGACACGCACATATTATATCTAGACGCCAACAATTTGTACGGATGGGCTATGAGTCAACCTTTACCCACGGGTGGTTTTGAGTGGGTCGATGTGAATGATATCGATGTGAATAAAGGATACATACTAGAAGTTGACTTGGAATATCCAAATTCGTTACATAAAGATCATAACAGTTATCCGCTAGCTCCCGAAAGATTAATGGTTAATAAAGATTGGATGTCGGAATATCAACACTCCTTGATGGGTAATAATAGGTTAGCTAACGTAGAAAAACTTGTACCAAATTTGATGGATAAGACAAAATATATAGTTCACTACAGAAATCTCCAGTTATATCTGATCACACGTTGGAGAATGTTAGCCCACTCAGCCTGTAGTGCATGTGCTAGCTGGTGTTGGTTGTTGGGTTTGTTGTTTAACACCGCACAGCAATATTCCAGCTATATGATGGTTGTCTGAAAATAATCAAGTCTGGACCAGACAATCCAGTGATTGGCATCATGAGCATCTTCACGCAAGCTGGTGGCACCTCCTGATTACTGATCACATGTTGGAGAATGTTAGCCCACTCAGCCTGTAGTGCATGTGCTAACTGTTAACACCTTCTGATTAAGGATCACACATTGGAGAATGTTAGCCCACTCAGCCTGTAGTGCATGTGCTAGCTGTTAACACCTTCTGATTAAGGATCACACATTGGAGAATGTTAGCCCACTCAGCCTGTAGTGCATGTGCTAGCTGTTGGTGCCTCCTGATTACGGATCACATGTTCGTTGGTTTGTTGTTTTACGCCACACTCAGCAATATTCCAGCTATATGACGACGGTCTGTAAATAATCAAGTCTGGACCAGACAACCAGTGATTGATATCATGAGCATTGACCCACGCAATTGGGATCGACGACTTGCTTCGACGAAGTCAGCAAGTCTGATCACCCGGTCCTGTTAGTCGCCTCTTATGACAAGAATAGTTGCCTTTTCCGGCAAGCATGGGTTGCTGAAGACCTATTCTCATGTTGGATTATGTTAGCCCACTCAGCCCGTAGTGCATGTGCTAGCTGTTAACACCTCCTGATTACTGATCACACGTTGGAGAATGTTGGCTCACTGTGCATGTGCTAGCTGTTAACACCTCCTGATTACTGATCACACGTTGGAGAATGTTGGCTCACTTAGCCCGTAGTGCATGTGCTAGCTGTTAACACCTCCTGATTACGGATCACACATTGGAGAATGTTAGCCCACTCAGCCTGTAGTGCATGTGCTAGCTGTTGGTGCCTCCTGATTACGGATCACATGTTCGTTGGTTTGTTGTTTTACGCCACACTCAGCAATATTCCAGCTATATGACGACGGTCTGTAAATAATCAAGTCTGGACCAGACAACCAGTGATTGATATCATGAGCATTGACCCACGCAATTGGGATCGACGACTTGCTTCGATGAAGTCAGTAAGTCTGACCACCTGGTCCTGTTAGTCGCCTCTTATGACAAGAATAGTTGCCTTTTCCGGCAAGCATGGGTTGCTGAAGACCTATTCTCATGTTGGATTATGTTAGCCCACTCAGCCCGTAGCGCATGTGCTAGCTGTTAACACCTCCTGATTACTGATCACACGTTGGAGAATGTTGGCTCACTTAGCCCGTAGTGCATGTGCTAGCTGTTAACACCTCCTGATTACGGATCACACATTGGAGAATGTTAGCCCACTCAGCCTGTAGTGCATGTGCTAGCTGTTGGTGCCTCCTGATTATGGATCACACATTGGAGAATGTTAGCCCACTCAGCCTGTAGTGCATGTGCTAGCTGTTAACACCTCCTGATTATGGATCACACATTGGAGAATGTTAGCCCACTCAGCCTGTAGTGCATGTGCTAGCTGTTAACACCTCCTGATTACTAATCACACGTTGGAGAATGTTAGCCCACTCAGCCTGTAGTGCATGTGCTAGCTGTTAACACCTCCTGATTATGGATCACACGTTGGAGAATGTTAGCCCACTCAGCCTGTAGTGCATGTGCTAGCCGTTGGCACCTCCTGATTATGGATCACACATTGGAGAATGTTAGCCCACTCAGCCTGTAGTGCATGTGCTAGCTGTTAACACCTCCTGATTACGGATCACACGTTGGAGAATGTTAGCCCACTCAGCCTGTAGTGCATGTGCTAGCTGTTGGTGCCTCCTGATTATGGATCACACATTGGAGAATGTTAGCCCACTCAGCCTGTAGTGCATGTGCTAGCTGTAAACACCTCCTGATTACGGATCACACATTGGAGAATGTTAGCCCACTCAGCCTGTAGTGCATGTGCTAGCTGTTGGCACCTCCTGATTACGGATCACACGTTGGAGAATGTTAGCCCACTCAGCCTGTAGTGCATGTGCTAGCTGTTGGCACCTCCTGATTACGGATCACACGTTGGAGAATGTTAGCCCACTCAGCCGGTAGTGCATGTGCTAGTTGTTAACACCTCCTGATTACGGATCATATGTTGGAGAATGTTAGCTCACTTAGCCTGTAGTGCATGTGCTAGCTGTTGCAAGATCTGTTTGTTTGTTGTTTAACGCCCCACTCCGCAATATTCCAGCTATATGACGGCGGTCTGTAAATAATCGAGTAATCCGGTAATGAACATGAGCATCGATCAACGCAGTTGGAATCGATGACATGCATCAACCAAGTCAGACCACCTGATCACTTTAGTCGCCTCTTACGACAAGCATGGTTGCCTTTTATGGCAGGCATGGGTTGCTGAAGACCTTGTCTATCCCGGATCTTCACGGGCCTGCAGGATTTGTAGTTTGTGTTGTATGTGGTATCAAACTCTTCCTACAGGTGTTCTATTACGTTCAAATCTGGCAACCTGAGAGGGCAATGATGGACTTGTAGAATTTTTGTGTTGCAAGAGGACATTTATAATTCATTTCATGGTTTCACAGGAGAGCCATGCTGCTGTTGTTGTTGTCACAATAGAGTCGGGCTTACAAGTTGCCTTATCCTTGCACCGGGTTGGTTCTACCAGTGTGGGACATTGCACCCACATCATTTCGCTATCACTTCCAAATCCGTTGACCTCTCGCATGTAGTAAGCTGGAAAATGTTCTTGACATTGTCAGTATACACCAGCTTGATGCAGCATATATCTTGGCTCACCGTGAAATTAAACCGTTCTCCATCACTGGCCAAGCAGTACTCTGCATGCTTGACACCAGTGTCGTAGTTGACAATGTTGTCTCCATCCAACACCTCTGGCACTGTCTGGTAAGATGCCTGGAATTGCTGTTGTTGTACACCTTTGCCACAAACGGTGAAGCCATATGAAGCGTTGCTCATGCATTTGGTCAGTGCTGTGAAAACATCCTCTCCTTCAACTGATGAACGTAAACATGGCCCTGTATGTTTCTGTTTATATCATAGAATTTATTTTATATTTTTCAAATATTTATTCTCAAGAACTACAATGTTGAGACACCTGAACCTTTGTTTGTATGACAAAGGCTATAAACTCAGCATAAATGTCTTCATGACAAGATTGTACTGTTACAAAATTGAAAACTGAATGTTACATTTAAGAAAAAGAGAATTGTTAAAAATGCCCTTTTGGATTTTTTTGCTTATGAAGGGGCATTGTTGAAATGTAGTTGCTTGTTTCATATTCATCCCTTAGCTCTCATTATCTATGCACAAAATATTATATATGTGTAAACACATAAAAAATGTTGACCACACATCTAGCTGTGGTACTTGTTTTCTAGACATTGGGGTTATCATGACTAAAGCAAGAAGATCACATATATCAGCCATCATGTAATGGCGGCATTCCCACAGAAAAGCTTGAATTTTCAATCATCAGGACAACCTTATTTAGTGGCACTCTGACAGACATGTGAGGACAGTCCCCAACAGCTGTCACACAGACACATGGCAACGCAGCATGGACATATATACACGGTTCTCTGTAAATTACTCCACCTTCAGCACTGTTGTGATGTGGTGTACAATTCCATTCAGTTAAATCCTGTACACCCCAAACACAGACACATCATAATGGGAACTTTGCTCTTATAATTGCAAACATTAAAAGAGAGCTACTAGTCTATAGCATATTCTTTAAGTATTTGTCCATTCTGTGAGCTGTGAGTGTAAGTCTGATGAGGGCACTGCCTGTATCCAATAATTTCTTCAAGTCTGTTATCTTGAACATATATGGAACTAATGCAAAATGTCTTTGTTTAGGCTAAATATACAACAAACAAATGCATGTACAATCTTTCACATTGCTTACATACAGTTGCTGGTGGGGAAACAGAATACTGACATGAAAATATGTTAGTCTGAAAGCAAGAAACAGTCACCTAATTTGATTCACTAATATCAACAATGCATGACCAAAATGTGTTGTTAAAAGTATCCAACTTCAACTTCAGTCATGACTGGACAGGATTTTACAGAATGCGTCTACAGATGAGCTGGATGAGACTCGGTCATAAGCACCATGGATCAGTCCATGTCTACCAACAGGTCACATTGCACAATGAATCAGTCCACTTCTACCAACAGGCCACTCTGCACCATGGATCAGTCCACTTCTACCAACAGCCCACTCTGCACCATGGATCAGTCCACTTCTACCAACAGCCCACTCTGCACCATGGATCAGTCCACTTCTACCCACAGCCCACTCTGCACCATGGATCAGTCCACTTCTACCCACAGCCCACTCTGCACCATGGATCAGTCCACTTCTACCAACAGGTCTCTCTGCACTTCCCCGGCAGTATCACTCAATGAAGCTGCTGCATGGCACGCACACATTCTGCAGTGCAGTCCCACCACAGGGACCTGAAATAATTAAACACATGTCAGATCATGTGTGTTAAGATCTAGCAAAAAGCACTACAAAAGACTTATGTTACAATGTATATCTTTTACTTATTTCATAGAAACTACACACATCATTGAACACACTTCACAACTAGAACCACTCGGGCCTGACTTCACACATCATAGTACATACTTCACAACTAGAACCACTCGGGCCTGACTTCACACATTATTGTACACACTTCACTACTAGAACCACTCGGGCCCTTGTTTTACACTAGAACCACTTGGGCCTGACTTCACACATTATTGTACACACTTCACTACTAGAACCACTTGGGCCCTTGTTTTACACTAGAACCACTCGGGCCTGACTACACACATCATTGTACACACTTCACAACTAGAACCACTTGGGCCTGACTACACACATCATTGTACATACTTCACAACTAGAACCACTCGGGCCTGACTTCACACATCATTGTACATACTTCACAACTAGAACCACTTGGGCCTGACTTCACACATCATTGTACATACTTCACAACTAGAACCACTCGGGCCCTTGTTTTACACTAGAACCACTCGGGCCTGACTTCACACATCTTTGTACATACTTCACAACTAGAACCACTCGGGCCTGACTTCACACATCATTGTACATACTTCACAACTAGAACCACTCGGGCCTGACTTCACACATCATTGTACACACTTCACAACTAGAACCACTTGGGCCTGACTACACACATCATTGTACATACTTCACAACTAGAACCACTCGGGCCTGACTTCACACATCATTGTACATACTTCACAACTAGAACCACTCGGGCCCTTGTTTTACACTAGAACCACCTGGGCCTGACTTCACACATCATTGTACATACTTCACAACTAGAACCACTCGGGCCCTTGTTTTACACTAGAACCACTCGGGCCTGACTTCACACATCATTGTACATACTTCACAACTAGAACCACTCGGGCCCTTGTTTTACACTAGAACCACTCGGGCCTGACTACACACATTATTGTACATACTTCACAACTAGAACCACTCGGGCCTGACTTCACACCAGGGGTCCGGAAAATTTAAAATCCCAATCGGACATTTGCATTTAGGCCACGCCCCCTTCAAATAGCGTATTTTAGTACGACTTTACACACACATTACAAGTTTACGTATTCATAATATGATGAATTATGAATTGTTTCAATTTAAATTGTTTAATTCACCGGACAATTAATAACAAATAATATCATTTTAGATTTACATGGAAAACATACGTTTGTTTCTGTTATAATAACGATCTATTAACGTAGTGAACGGTCTAATTAATATTCATGAGTCTGCTCAAGTGTACGCGTTGTAACATTTGGATCGAGACTATTATCCCATATTTGGTTATCACGTGACCTCACGGGAAAAGTTTTTTTTTAAACTAAGGCCAGACCAATTTAATTGCTAGGATTACGGATTTTTTCGGGTAAAGTGGCTGAATGGAGGAGGGAATGTAAAAAAAAAAAAAAGTCCTTGAGAGAAATTTTTTTCGCAGGTATTACGGATTTTAGGAGGCAGGAATGCTGATAGGAGGAAATAAAAAAAAATTTAAAAAAATCCCTCACTTGTGCCACAGAAGCTACAAAAGTATTTCAGTATAACCCACCACGCATGTTGCAAGCAATGCAAGCAATGAAATACTCTGTCCAGTATAACTTTATCGTGTTAAATGATCAGGTAACACTCATGCACTTAAATTAAATAGCCCTGTTTATTATAGATTTTGCCACCACTGTCACATAATTTAGTCCAAAGTCTGCTAAAACTTGCATATGTGTTGTAAGTTCGACAATATTCCCGTAGGAACCAGCCTTAGATTCTGTTGCATGCACCCCTGAATAGAAAGTCCATCTCCATCGCCAAATCACCAACTGTGTCATCCAGTTGACTTTCCATGATTCGCTTTGATAAGCACAAACTACCTTCAGAACGCTTACGCTGAAATACTTTGCTGACATTGTCGAAAGACACCAGATAATAAAAGGCATTAACACCGAGTTCCCAGAGAAGCTTGTGTGATAGATGAAGCCAACATTTATCAAAGAAAATATCTGCTTGTAAAATATATTTTCTACTACATGTTATACACCATTTGAAAGGTCTGATCCTATGGTTTATAAATATGAAAGTTGTGTTTTTCACATTATTTAAAATAATGCATTTACAACTTAATTAAGTTCGTTGTATTAAAATAAAAAATGTAAGCTAACACGTTGTTAACATCCAGATTAAGGACCAAGGAAGCGAAAACATTTAATAAAATCCACTTGCCTATTTCTGTTTTATTTTCATTGTTTACGTAATTGGAAAATCATTTTAAAAAGAATTTATAAATAGTTTCTGTCATCACCCATCTCCCGATAACAGCGGCTGTCCGCTCAGTAACATGAAGAAATACCGCCGTTTTCGAGGCTTCGTATGAAAAACACATTCGTCGAAGAATGGCATATGACACATCGCTAGAAAGCTTATTCCTTCATCTACACGCTCGTAACATCGTCTGGTTTTTTCCGTAGTTATAACAAGCGATTTCATTGGATTAAAATTGGTTTCTAATGACGCTTTCTTGTCGAAATCTGCTACAAGTTTCGTGATTGGTCAATTTTGAGCACATGACCTAATGCAGCCAATCAAATTACAGCTGTGGTACCAAGCTCGTGTTTTATACATATTAGAAGTTGGCGAAAGATTTTTTTTAAATCGTGTTATTCTGAACGTTTTAAGCCGGAAATCACGATATATATTAAAAATATAAAACTTCGTGAATGTATCGTGCTAGGTTACGAGCTGTGACAAAGATTTTTCACACATATATTTTTGCATTAAACATCGTGTCCGAGCCGAGAATTCAAGGCGACGAAAGCCGAGATGTCATTCGACATACATTAGCCTACAAGCGATCGCACGAAAAGATGGAAATAATAACTTAGATGTAAGTTTGATTACTTTTAGATATATTTTTGTTGATTTTATTTATTACTTTGTATAATATATTTAAAGATTTGTTTAGAACCTCTTTATTTTGCTCTTTGACATGTTCGATGTGGACCCGTTGTCGAAATTTGTGTCCGAGAATTTTATTTTCAATAACACCGCGGGAGATAGTGAATAATTTTTTAATGTATCGATTAAAAATGATAAAGTGAAATGGAATAGGTATTTCAGACATTGTGAAATGTTATAAGATTTAATAAATGAATGACATCACAGGTAGGTCCATAAATATATATATTATTTTGACGTGACTACGTCTGGGGACTCGATGCTTCTTGGCCGGATAACCGGCCTACGGTGTTGAAAGAGTTAAAACACCCAAACTGACACCCCATGTCCTACACATGGTCCCGGCATATTCAATACACGTTGTGCGCATGCGGGAAACACTTGTAATTGAGAGTACTCATTCGATTGGCTATGTTCGCGTGGAACGACTAATGGAATTTGCCGACACATTTGCGTAAGGAATTTTAGTTAAAAACTAGAGTTACTTCCCCTTACATGTATTCTCTCACAACAAGGCTTATCGATCGATGTCGGATGTCGGGTAGAATATTTTTTAAAAAAATGATAGAATTTCATTTTTTTTTTTTTCCGATTTGGCGAAAAATGGTGTCGGCGGATCCGTAATCCTAGCAATTAAATTGGTCTCGCCTAAAGATTTTTTTAAAAACAAGACAGATAATTTAATCACAAATACTAAAATATCGTTGATAGCAATAGTTATTTGAATACTTTTTTTCATCTGTACTTAATTATTGACCATAAAAAAATTGGATATCGATCGTCCGAGAAAGCAAAATGGCGGTCAATCAAGATTCAATATACGACTAGCTACTGAAAAAAATAAAATCTGCAAATCCTCATTGTATGTCAACCAAGTGAAAGCCGTTAGCCACGACTTACAAAATGATCGTCCAGACTTTGAGGGTTTGGCAGATCCGCTCGACTGATCTGCATCGGTCGACTGGCTGTCGTCACGCTTTCGCTTCTTGTCTGAGGTTACGTATCGTAGCAGTGTGAGGATAATGAGGTACATCGATGATGCAAGGTATTAATGTACAGTTGTAAACACCTTTCACTCAAATTAACAAGATTTTCTCAGTAATTAATCCTCAATTAATCAGTGTCAACTCAGTTTATTGCCTATTACAGTGATTGACCGATTGGACTATCATGTAGGTACGATGTATTTACAGCAATCAAAACAAACAAAGCTTGTCAGTGTAGTTAATCTTCATTGTGTTGCAACTGCAGACAGAAACTGCTCAGTCCTAACTGTTGATCATGTCCGGTCAAAATTTAAGAATGTCCGGACAATACTTTTTAAAATGTCCGGTAAGCAATATTTTAAAACGGACATTTGAGATTCCCAATCGGACATGTCCGGCGCATATGACGGTTTCCGGACCCCTGCTTCACACATTATTGAACACACTTTACAACTAGAACCACTCGGGCCTGACTACACACATCATTGTACATACTTTAGAACTTTCAATCTGTTAAAACTTTCTTCAAACTCTTTTGCCTTCCCAACTGCTGCCTTGATCACCTGTAACAGAAAAGGTGGTGGGATTACAAGCTCTGTAGTTCCTCTAATGCCTATTTTTTTCAATAGTTTCACACAAAATAATACAGGTCAAAACAGAAACAGTGTCCTAATCCTTTTCATCAGCATCCTTTATCAGGATGAGTCACTGGCAACATTCAGAGACAGAACTTTGTTTTTTCTTCAACCTTGTCACAAACATCAATGCACATTGGGTGAAACAGAAACTGAGAAAAGAAGAAAAGACAATTATTTCCACAACACCATCTACAATGAACTTGACTGTTGATCATGAACGATGCCTTGAACAAACGTGAATCTACTACAACTATAATCATTCACAGACAAGATGCAGCTTTCTAAGCCTTGTGGTTTCCACGAAAAAATGCTTCAACTTTTGATCATAGTTGACTTGTGAAAATATTTGTAATCCCAAATGCCTACTGATAATATCGCAATGATTTGAACAAACTATGGTCAAATCTCACCTTTGTTTGTCCATTAGTTTCAGGAGATATTTACAGTGCCCAGAATGTTTTCAAGGGAATCTAAGGGTACCCAGACAGTATGTGGCTTTGTTCCAATGTAAGAAGGTAATAAATAGCAACATTCTTGTCACATTTCACAAAAATGCCAACAGGAAATAAGGGAATTTGAATCTATTTTATCTACCAACCCTAAATTCTTACCAAAACAGAAATATTGAACTCTTCACTTTTTTTATATTTCCATCACAGACAAAGGTTTTGAAAAACAAGCATGAAATACTCATATCCCCCGCCAATATTTCATCTCCAGTTGTGTGCAATGCATTAGCTCCTGTGAACTATGTTCACTGGGCCTTTTTGGCCTAAATGGCCTAATTGCAGCACTAAAAAAAGTTATTACTGGTGTTGTTTTGCCATCTACAGTTTATGATAGAATATGTAACTGTATTTGTAATGAGTAAGGATGAGACATATGGATGAACAACTTCTTGTGTTTCGGTGTAGGTTCTAACACCCTTATCAAGCAAGTGAAATTCAGAGTATGGTTGACAAGAATATATACAGGATAGGAGGCAGTGTTTATACAGTTGAGTAGGTTTAAGATCAGTTACACTGTTGTATTTGTAATGAGTTGTGTTTCTGCACGAAGTTGGTCAGTGAATGCAACAACCGTGTCCATGACACTTGAAAGGACCAACAAGAAAGGAAATGTATTCAATACTGTGAGATGACATTACGTGCCAAGTTTGGTGAAGAAATATGGTACGGTTTCCAAGTTGTTGCCATGGAAACTCGAAAAAAATTATTTTTAAAATCCAAAACAATCAAAAGGCACTAGTTCACCACTAGACCTATCTATGTGCCAAATTTGGTGAAAATAATATGGTACGGTTTCCAAGATCTGCTCCGAAAACGAGGACTACCGCCATTTTCAGTCAAAATCAAAGTTGTTGCCATGGAAACTCGAAAAAAATTATTTTTAAAATCCAAAACAATCAAATGGCACTAGTTCACCACTAGACCAATCTATGTGCCAAATTTGGTGAAGAAATATTGCACGGTTTTCAAGATCTGCTCCGGAAACGAAATGTGACAGTCAGCTGAAGGATGGAAGGACGGACGGACGGCACCCATTCCTATAACCCCCTTCCACTTCGTGGCTGGGGATAATAAAAATCTGATAACCAACTGCTAAAAAAAGAAATGCCTTATGTTCTACTGAAGCAAGAGCTGCTGGTGAGACTTTGCCCATCCCTCCGTCCCTCAACAGCAAGCATGGAAAACATGTTCTAAAAATAGACTTTCCATATTAATTCCCCCCAGGTATGATCATGTGGTGGAGAAATGATGATGGTCTTTACCTCCTCTGGAATGTCAGCGAGACGAGCAGCGTTGAAGCCATAACTTTTGGGGCACGCGCCCTTGATAAACTTGTACAAGAAGGTGATAGTTTCCTGAGATGGATCCTCCTCGTTCTCATTCTCCACCATACATGCCTGAAGTCAACAAAATCACACTGGCATCAAGATGGAGATAGTTCAAGATTAAAGCAATTAACTCACCTAGGAAATCTCCCCCTGACAAAACTTAAAGCATCAAAAACAAAAACTGGGGAATACCTTCTCACCCTGTGTCCCTCCCAAAATCAAACAATAGTTATCATTGTGTATAATTCTAAGAATACTACCTCTATTACATCATAGTCACAAATTCCCATTTTGGCAATAATCACATTATAAAATCTTTAGAATTTTCGACAGACGTCCTCTTCACTGCCAAATATCCCAGTCTTGAGGTAAACCCTATCCCTCGTCAAACTGCATCTGCACATGCGCAAGGTGGGAAAACATCACTTCTTTCCATTAACCTTCATCGACCAGATGTAAGATATATTGGGGAGGTGGGAGGGACTATTTCCTGATGTAATAGAGGTAGTATTCATAGAATTATACACAATGATAACTTTTGTTTGATAATTCCTATGAATATCCTACCTCTATTACATCATAGCCAGTATTTACCAGAGGGACAGGTGGGATCTGTTATCTAGTACTCCCGGATAATTGGCAGCATTGAAGTAAGGGAAAAACATAGGCACAACGGGGTATGAATCAATGCCAGACTTCCTGATTTCACCCTTGGCAAACCTGCAGAAGACTTGGCACTTGTGGCGTCCTTCCCGTTTTATGATCTCATGATTGTTATCTGTTTTTGGTGGAATATGACCTCATTTTATATGTTTTTCTCTCCGGTTTGATGACCTTTCTGACATGACTTCCGCTTCTGAGAACATCTATGACGACACTATTGGTTCAATCTCCTGTGACATCATTTGGGTCATTATGAGGTCACTTCCGGTTCTGAGGTCATCTATGACGTCACTTCTGGTTCATTTGTCATTGTGATGTACCTACATACTTGTTGCTCTATAGCCAACAAGCATATATACTTATCTCACCTCAGGTATGATAATGACGTACTTTTAAGCTGATGACGTTTCCCTTTATATATTGGTGATAAAAACGTACCCTTTACGTAATTCCGGTTCTGAAGTCTTCCCTGACGACACCTCTGGTAGTTATACAGGTTACGCCAAGCGACTAACAACCCTATCACCTTATGATCTATGATCCCAGATGTTAGCCAATGATCCGTCCAACCTAGTTGACAGGCTAAGTTACCTTATATTGAGGTACTTCTGTTGATCTTCAACCACCCTACCCCCTAACTTCCACAGAACAGGGGATGGGTAGGCTACTGAGTGACTATAGCCTGGGCCGCCACCAAGGCCCCCAGGGAGTATAGTCCCTCTAGATCATGTTGTACGTCTCGTAGGTAGAAATGAGTAAACGTATTGTGGGATCTCCATTGACAGCTTGATACCACTTGTTCGATGGAAACTGAATTCCATGAGGCCAGACTTGTTGCTAGAGCACGGATTTCATGAGCCTTGCAACTTCCCCATTTTGGTGTAGAGAGCTGGGCTTGACGATAACTATCAGATATAGTGTTCTTAAGCCATCCTGCCACAGTAGCCTTAGTAATGTCCTTTTCTGACGAAGGCTTGCAAGAGATAAAGAGCCGTTTTCTTTTCTTCCTGTGGTTCTGAGTAGCTGAAATGTAGTATCTCAGAGCTCTGATGGGGCATAATAGTCTATCTGGATGATCAACTGTTTTACTCAAGGATGGGATACAGTATTGTCTATGCTGATGCCTGGTTTTTGGCGATAAATTCTGGTAGTGATCTGAAAGATATTTTGCTCCAATTTTGTGAATGCGTAATGCGATATCAATAGCGTGAAGCTCAGACACTCTAGCAGCTGTAGCTAACGCTAAGAGGAAGGTGGTCTTTTTAGAAACTGTTAAAAGTGTAGCCTCTGCCATTGGTTCATATGGAGCTTCCATCAGTGCAGACAGAATGATGGATAAATTCCATTTAGGGAAAATGTGTGGGATTTTTATGTCTTCCAGTGAAAACGATTTCATGAGTCGATTTAATACTGGGTGAGATCCTATGGATAAACCATCATGTTGTAGAACTGAGGCTAATGCTGATCTATAGCCTTAAATTGTACCATGTCTGAACCCTTTCTCATTTCTCAGGTGAAGAAGAAAATCAGCCACTATAGGTATTGTTATATTTTCATCACGCAACCCTCTTTCTATTCACCACTGGCAGAACTTTCTCCATCTGACGTTATAGATAGCTGAGGAAGCCTCGTCTCCATGAGCTAGCAACCACGTCTGAAGCTGATTTAGAAAAAATGGAAACTTGCATCTTTGTCCCGATAGTTTCCAGGCGTGAAGGTGGAGATTTGTCAGGTTGCCGTAAAATATGTCCGATTTTGGTTGGCGGAGGAGATCTTGACGTTCTGGCAGTTTGAGAGGCTCTTCTATGAGAAGTGGAATCAGTCTTGGAAACCACGCTCTGTTGGGCCACGCTGGGGCTATCAGAATTATGACGCAATCTGTGTCCTCGATCTTCCTTATTACTCTGTCCAGGAGAGACCAAAGAGGGAAAGCGTAGGCAAACATCCCTTGCCAACTCATGGATAGGGTGTCGACCTGAAGGGCTAATGGATCTGGGACTGGGCTGACGTAAACGGGAAGTCGATGGTTTAGGCATGTGGCAAACAAATCCAGGTGAGGGGTATCCCACGTCGAGGTTATCCACTTGAATACCTCGGGGTGGTGAGTCCATTCCGTGGGTACAATCTTGTTTTTCCGGAATAGGCAGTCTGCAAGTATGTTCACTTTTCCCGGTATGTGCCGTGCTTCTATAGTGCAATTCACTGAGTCTGCCAAGGCAAATAAAAGAGTAACATCCCTCAACAAAAGTGCTTCATCTCGTGCCCCCTTGATGTTGTATGTACGCTACCACCGTGGTGTTGGCTGTAGCTATCAGTACCGACGTGTGGTGTAGTAGGTGGGCCCATGCCTTCATTGCTTGGACAATAGCTCTCATTTCCAGACAATTTATGGGTAATTTTTTGTCTTGATCTGACCACATTCCTAAGGATTGTGACGTCGTCCATATGTGTGCCCCAACCTTCGCCTGATGCGTCTGTATATAGATGGTGTAACGGTGGGGGGAACATGAGAGGGATGCCTGGCATGACGTTTTGAGGAGGTTGTATTGTCTCTTCCAGGTCCATATTTCTGGTGGTGTTCATCCACGCTTGTAGTGGACGTAACTGGAGTCTCCCTCTGTAAGTAAGATCTTGGATTGATGTCAGTGTGCCTAGGCAAGACATCCACCAACGACGTGACCTGCTGGGTTGGTCGAGAGCACTCTGAATCTTTTCTATAGCTCTCAGATATCTGTCCTCTGGAGGTTGTAAAATGCCTTTTGAAAGTTGAAACCTTGCCCCTATGTACATGATGTCTTGAGTTGGAATTAATTTTGACTAGACGGGATGTATCAGGAAACCCAAGTGAGATAGAAGTTGGATCAGAAATATTGCATTCTGCTTTATCTGCAATAGTTCTTGATCTGCTGAGAGGAAATCGTCTATATAGCCGTGGAATCTTACAAGATTTAGATGAGCGAAGCCGATGATGGGGGTGATAATCCGAGTAAAAAGCCAAGGTGCTATTGATATTCCGAATGGAAACACGTTGAAATTGAAACCTTTGACTGTTTACTGCAAAGCGTAGGTAGGGTCGACAACTCGGGTGAATAGGTACATGCAGGTAGGCATCCTGTAGGTCCAGACTGACTAGCCAATCTCCTAGTTTGAGGGAATTACATAACTTCTTTACTGATTCCATTTGAAACTTTGGTGGACGTACTAGGTAATCTCTGCTGAGTACCTTTAGGTCTATTATCATGCGCATCTTTGTAGAGTTCTTTTTGGGGACCAGAAAAACTGGAGAGTAAAACCCTTTTGTAGTATTTGCCTTTTGTAAGATGCTGATGGCCCCTTTGTCTAGTAGTTCTCGTATTGCCAGAGTTACCACTTCGATCAGCCAAGGGTCGTCCGTAATAGACTTCCAATTTTTGGCGTATAGTGACAGACGACCGCCGACTGGTCCCGCGGTAGGCGTTAAGGTGAACTTGGGTAACCGGTAATCAAGGTCTATTAACATAGCAAGGTCGACAGGGTTTGGCTGAGAGATTCTTGGGTGTAGAGAGTCACAAACGGCGGTTACCTCTACCTCTGGTATAGGATAGACCATGACCTCTGCTTCTTTGGGACTCATGCCTCCCTCGGCTTGGTCTGGAACAGGATGAGTTTTTCCAAGTGGAGGAACAAAAAGACTCACGTCCTTACATAACATGTCTACGTTTAGGCGGATCCGTGTGACTGAGAGTGTACTATAGGTGTTGGTCTGGGTGTTGGTTGACCGCTTTTCATTAAGCTTAGATGCCAATGATATAGTGGAGTTTTGGAATCTCTGATTAGTGGTGCGTGAAATTCCATCAATCACAGAGGTTAGTCTGCCGTTGAAGAACTGGGGCGCCAATATCGACTGAGACATCAAACTTCGTCTTAGTGGATCTGAGATTGGCATGCTAAAAGCTCTGCTGGTAGAGGCATTTAAATCCGCATTCATTTTTGTGACCACATTTTCAGTGAAAGATGGATATGGAAATGTATGAAAACCTTCCCTTTTTTCTACAGGATTTTCATAACCAGCCCTTTCAGTAAGCACCGGATCCTCTGCCTCATTGCTTGGGGGCTTTACAGATGGGATCAACTGATGGATTTCATAGATGCTATCTTTAAATGAGTAGTCGTTTGGTTTGAACGTGAGTGTACTATAGGTGTTGGTCTGGGTGTTGGTCAACCGCTTTTTATTAAGCTTAGATGCCAATGATATAGTGGAGTTTTGGAATCTCTGATTAGTGGTGCGTGAAATTTCATCGATCACAGAGGTTAGTCTGCCGTTGAAGAACTGGGGCGCCAATATCGACTGAGACATCAAACCTTGTCTTAGTGGATCTGAGATATTGTGTCTAACCTGTTGAATAAGATGATTCCGTTGAATAAGC